GCTGTTCGGAGAGGTGAGTGACGGGTTTTAAAAAGACGCAGTTGGTGCAACTGGTCGAAAATTAGAAGTGTTTCGCACTGATGGACGAGGCTGTTGAATTTCTGACGTGGGCTGGTAAGCAGTGACAGGTGAAGGACGAGTTATAACAGGTGGCTGGGGTGCGATAGATGGTGGCTGAGAACCGGTGGTGTGTGTTACGGACAGGTGACAAGATGATGAGTTCAAGAGATGGCTGGCAGCTTGCCGTATTTGCTTATGGCAGAGGCGCTGGGCTACTGTATATAGCGTGTATGTGTGTGTATGATGTGTGTAGGTGTAATGTGTGGTATGTGTGTGTGTGTATGTGTGTGTATGTATGTCGATGTATGTATGGTTTGTGTGAGTATGTGTGTGTGATGTGTGGTGTATGTGTGGTGTGTATGTGTGTCGTGTGTGTATGTGTGTGTGTGTGTGGTGTTGGTATTTGTGTTGATGTGTGAGTCTGTGAGTGTTGTAGTGTAATGTGTGTGCTGTGTTTTTTTAAGTGTGGTGTGTGTGATATGGTCGGTAGTGTGTGTATGTCGTGTGTGTGTATGAGTGTTTTTGTGTGTGTGTATAGTGTGGTGTGAATGTGTGTCTGTGTGCTTACGTGTCTGATATATATATAAATAATATATATATACATATATATATATATATTTATGTATTTATATATAATATATATAGTTATATATATATCGTATTTATGATACTTATATATATATTATATTATATATGTATATATATTTATATATATATTATATTAAATTATATATATATATTTACATATTTATATACATATTTATAATATATATACATATATATATAACTTTATTTATATATTTATATTGTATATTATAGTTATAATATGTATATTATATATTATATATATTATTTTTGTATTTATATTATTTGTATATATTTATAAATATATATATATATACTTATATATATATTGTATAAATATATATATTTTTATATTATATATGTATTTTATTATATATTTATATATATATTACTATATATATTTTATAGACATATATATATATATATATATTATATATTCTTATATTTTTTTTATATATATATATATATATAACATATTTATATATATATATATATATACAATATATATATGATATATTTATTTATATATTTATACATATATATATATTATTGATTTACTATATATATACAGATATATATGATATATACTATATATACTATATATATTCATATATATATATACTTTATATATATACATCATATATATAAATATATATATATAATATAACATATATATTTACATAGATATATATATATAAATATATTTATATACCCATATATATATATTATAACATATATTAATACATTTTTATATAGTATTACATATAGTTTTACAATATTCTATATATTACATATTATATATACATATATTTATATAGTCATAATCATTAATATATATATATTATACATTTATATACTACGCAAGATATATATATATACATATATATATAACATATATATATTAATATTTCTATATTTATTATACATTTATATATATATACATAATATATATACATATATATTATATATACATAGATTATATACATATATATATTTACAGATATATATACTTATATTATATATATTCATATATATTTTCTACATATTTATATATATACATATATATAATACATATATATATATATACATATATATATACATATATATATATATAGTGATATATATACATATATATATATACATATATAGATACATATATATATTTACATATTATATATACATATATATATAACTATACTACTACTTTTATATATATACATAATAATATATATTATATATATATATATATTATTATATATATATTTATATACTTTATATACATATATATATATATATAATATACATATATTATACTATATACATATTTATATTATATACATATAAATTATATATATATACATATATATATATATATTATATATATATATACATATATTTATATATATTACTTATATATATATATATACATTATATAAATATATATATATACATATATATATATACATTATATATCATAAATATATATATATACTTATTATATTATACATATAATATATATTCTATACATATATATATATAATATTATATATATATATATACTATATATATAACATTATATATATACACTATATATATATATATCATATATACTAACATATTATATATTTTACATTTCATATATTATTTTACATATATATAGATAACACTATATATATTTATTATACATATATATATTTATATATAATATATAACATATATATATATTTTATTCATATATATATATATACATATATGCCATATATATATATATTTATATATACTATTATTTTATTACATATATATATATACATATATATATATATATCATATAATATTATATATATCATATATTATATTTATATTTTATATATATATATAGATATACATATATATATATAGATTTAACATTATATATATATACATATATTTTATCATAAATATATATATTTATTATATTATATATATACTACATATATAATATATACATATTATATATATATATAAATATTTAATTATACATATATATATTTATACTAGATATATATTTATAGATGGGGTTGTAAGAGAAGAAAATAAAATGCGAGGGTCTTGGCTAGAGGGCGTGGAGTAAAAAATGATAAAGAATCACAACACAAAGTGGGAGTTGTCACAAGCTGCTCTTTGTGATGACACTGTGCTCTGGGTGATTCTGAAGAGTAGTTGCAGAGGTGGTGGATGAAGTTGGTAGGGTGTGCAAAAGAAGAATAATTAAGGTGAATTACAGGAAAGAGTAAGGTTATGAGGATAAACAATAAAGATTAGGTGATGAAAGGAATTGAATATCAGATTGGAGGGGAAGGTATGGAGGAGGTGAACGTATTCAGATTTTGGGAGTGGAGTCGTCAGCGGATGGGTCTTGAAAGATGAGGTGAATCATAGAATTGAATGAGGGATAAAGGAGGGGTGGTGCACTTGAGGAGTCTGTGGAGACAAAGTACTTTGTCTTGGAGGCAAAGAGGAGGAATGTATGTGAGTAATTGTTTTTACCAACGTCTTATATGGGTGTGAAGCGTGGGTGATGTAATGTTGCAGCGAGGAGGAAGGCTGGAGGCAGTGGGAGATGTCATGTATGAGGGACAATGTGTGTGTGTGAAGTTTAATGCAGTGAAATTCGTAGTTTGGAAGTTAGGAGGAGGTGAGGGGATTACAAATCTGTTGTATGTGGGCTGAGGAAGGGTTGTTGAGGTGGTTCGAGACATGTATGAGAGTATGGGAGACGTTAACGAGTAGGATTTCAAGAGGGTATCAGTCTGTAGTGAAGGAAGGCGGGTTGGGGTCGGACAGAGGAAGGGTGGGTGGGAGGGGGTTATGGTGGGTTTGTCCGGGAGGAGGGGCGTGGAATTCAGATGGGACTGGAGGTGAGCAGGGTTGGTGAGGTGTGGATATGGTGACAAATGGTTGTTTTTTACTGGAACGGGTGTTGGAGTGTGAGCATTTGGTACTGGGTGTTGGGCGTTGCTGATATTACGGTCAATGGCAAGGACGGGTGGCAGGGAGTGGGGTTGTTCTGGGACGGATCGATGATGGCTGGTCGGCGGGGTTGGGGGATGGGGTTTTTAGTGGTGTGGGGGTTTGATAAGGCGGGATTGTCTGGGTGGGTGGGTTGGTGGGGGTTTGGTGGGTCGTTGTGGGTCCACCAGGAAGGGGGGGGTTGAGGAAGGGGGGTGTTTTTTATTTTTTTTTTGTGGTGTGAGTAATGTTTCGTGTGAGGTGTGTGCTGTGTGTGTGTGGTGTGTGTGTGTATGTGTGTGTGTGTATCGTTGTGTGTGTGTGTAAGTGTGTGTGTGTGGTACCTGTGTGTGGTGTGTGTAGTGTGGTGTGTAGTGTATGTTGTGTGTGTGTGTTATGTGTGTGTGTGTAGTGTATGTGTGTGTGAAGTGTATGTGTAGGGTGTGTGTATGTGTGTGTGTGTATGTTGTAGTGTTTGGGTGCTGTATGTGTGTGTGTGTATGTGTGTGTGTGTGATGTGTGTCGTGTATGGTGTGTATGTGTGTCGTGGTGTATTGTTCGTGTGAGTGTATGTGCTGCTGTGTGTGTGTGTGTATGTGTGTGTGTGAGTGTCATCGTCCGTGTGTGTGTGTGTGTTATGTGTCGTGTGATGTGTTGTTGTGTGTGTGTATGTGCTGTGTGTGTGTATGTGTGTGTGGCTGTGTAATGTGTGTGTGTGTGTATTGTGATGTGTGTATGTGTGTGTGTGTGTTATGTGTGTGTGTGTGTTGTCTGGTAGTGTTGTAGTGTGTGTGTGTATGTGTGTGTGTGTAAATGTTGTGTGTTGTGTGTATGTGTGTGTGTGTATGTGTGTCGTGTGTATGTTGTGTGTGTATGTGTGTTGGTTATGTGTGTGTGTGTGTGGTGTATTTGTGTCGGTGTGTGTGGTATGTGTAGTGTACGTGTATGTCGTGTCGTGTATAGTGTGTGTTGTCTGTGCTGTGTGTGTGTGTGTATGTGTGTGTGTGTATGTGTCGGGTCGTATGTGTGTGTGTGTTGTGTGTAGTGTGTGTGTGTGTGTGTGTATGTGTGTGTGTGGTATGTGTGTGGGTATTTGTGTGTGTATATGTGTGTGTGTGTGTGTCGTGTATTTCCTGTTGTGTGTATGTGTAGTGTGTGTATGGTGTGAGTGTGTATGTCGTGTGTGTGTGTGTGTGTGTGTATCGTGTGTGTGTGTATGTGTGTGTTGGTGTATGTGTGTCGTGTGTCGTATGTGTGTGTGTGAGTATGTGTGTGTGTATGTGTGGTGTATAGGTGTGTATGTGTGTAGTGTATGTGTGGTGTGGGTTAAAATGGGGGTGTGGTGTAGTGTAATCGTGTGTGTGGTG